ATGGGTAGAGATAGATAAGATAACAGGCCTATGATCTGGCTCCTTCATACCCTCTTTTTAAAAAAAAATTTTTTTTTTATTAGTACTTGTTAGCAGGATATAATGACTTCATTCATTGTGGGGAGTTGATACATGTCACATGACATATTCACGTCCCACTTTTACCCACAGGAAGAGCCAGCAGCACCCCGAGAGCTGGGCCTAGGCCTGGGGCTAGGCCTGAAAGATAAGGAGGAGGCAGTGGTTGCAGCGGCGGCTGGGCTGGAGGAGGCTAGTGCTGCGGTGGCCGTGGGAGCAGGAGGTGCTCCAGCTGGCCCTGCGGTCATTGGCCCCAGCCTGCCGCTGGCCCTGGCCATGCCACTGCCTGAGCCTGAGCCTCTGCCCCTCCCACTGGAGGTAGTACGGGGCCTGCTGCCCCCATTGCGCATTCCTGAGCTCCTGTCCCTTCGTCCACGACCTCGGCCCCCTCGGCCTGAGCCACCCCCCGGCCTCATGGCTCTTGAGGTAAGCAGAGAACATAGCAGTGGGAAGACAGGCAGGAATCTGTGGGCTTTAACACACAGTCCTCTGTCCAGAGCAGAGAGGACTCAAGGGAGAGGGAGGCAGACACGCATACTCTACCCCGAAGCATATCAGTCCTGTTACTGGAGTAAGGGGGACAAGGTCTGAAGCAAAGTGAAAGACTGTAGCATCAAGTCCTTTGTACGCCATCTGCCTTGCTCTGCAGGTGCCAGAGCCCATGGGTGAAGACAAGAAGAAAGGGAAGCCAGAGAAATTGAAACGCTGCATTCGCACAGCAGCCGGAAGCAGCTGGGAGGACCCCAGCCTGTTGGAGTGGGATGCTGGTGAGTGGACTTCAGTGTGGGATCAGGCTGTGCTGAGCCACGGAGAAGCCCTACTGCCTCTGCGGGCCATGGCATATCTCTGGGAAGGCCAGACTGCAGCACTGTGGGGCAGGTCCTTCCCAGGTGATAGGCCAAGGCTTTCTGTGCTGTGTACTCCTGAGGAACTGAGACAGGGTCTCACTGAGTAATTCAGGCTGGCCACGAACTCACTGTGTAGCTCAGGCTGGCCTCAGATTTGTGGCAATCATCCTGCTTTAGCCTCCCAAGTACTGGGATTACAAGTGTGTGCCACCATGCCTGGCTTCCTCCAGTTCTAATGAAAACTTTTAAGCCCAGAAGGATACAATGAATGGCCTTCCCACCACATAGATTCTTCAGCTAACATTTTTTCCTATTCACTGTATTCCTCCTGTTCATTTATTTGTGCTCATCACGTGGAGTTCTGTTGTTTTTGCAGTGCTGGTGATCAAACCCAGGTGTGCTAGGCAAATGCTCTACCTGAGGTACATCCCCAGCACCTTACTGTTTTATGCTCAGTACTTAAAGTTAGTTATAAGTGATTACATCTAAATATCTTAGTATTCTCCTAAGACTTTGTTTCATAGCACAGTACCATTATCACATCCAAGAACAGTAATTCTGGTTTTTTTTAAAGAGGGTAAAACAAAATATAACAGAGCAAAACAGATCAGAAGAAAACAATGTAAGAGACACAGATTTCAAAGCAAGACAACAGGAGGTCAGCAGTGGCTACCATAATGTCTCTTGTTTTCTTTTAAATAGTTGTCTATATCTTCACACACAGTTCATACAAAATAGTATAAAACTGATCAAAACAATAATTAAGGCATTTTATAGGCCTTTAAAACTAGACAATTGAAAAATCAACAATGGCTACCGTAATGTCTCTTAATTTATGTTATTTATTTATTTGTCATTTAGAGACAGGGTTTCACTATGTGGTCCAGGCTGGTCTTGAACTCACTTTGTAGCCCAGGCTGGCTTCAAACTCACAGTGATCCTCCTGCCTCAGCCTCCTGTGTGCTGGGATTACAGGTGTGCACACCACACTCAGTGACATCTTATATTCAGTTGTTACTTTTCTAATTGCCCCAAAACTCCATTATGGCTTTTTTTTTCCCCAAGCCAGAATATATACAGTTTTATATATTTATCTTGCTTTCTACTTTTTTTCTGTTTTATTTAAATTGGGCTAAGAGTGTTAGTGTTGTAACTCAGCAATAGAGCATTTGCCCAGCACACTCCAGACCTTGGCTTCCATCTCCTGGGTGAAAGAACAGTGGTTAGATACTGGTGTTCACTTGACCCAAAACAAATGAGCAGTCATTCATGTCAAATGGAGTGGCAGGTGGGGATGGCACATGAATTTCAGCCAGCACCTGACCCAGGTAGGCAGAGCCAGAACACTTGTTGCTGAGCTGGAACACCTCTTGCTGAGCCTACCTGCAAACTCCGCACAGGATTGATTATCAGCCTGAGGACCAAGAGTGGTTTATGGAAGGAGGGTAAAAAGAACACCTGCTGGTGAATCCCTTGCTGGGGTAGGAAGCCAGCCTGCTGAGGTTTTAGGAGGTGCCTCCACAGCCATGTGAATCAGCGTCAGCATCCAAACCAAACTGGGCATGGCGGCACATGTCTATTATCACAGCACATAGGAAACTGAAGCAAGAAGATCACCACAAATTTCAGGCCAACCTGGAATGTTCAGTGAGACCCCGTCTCAAAAAACCAAAAAGTGTCCAGGCTAATTGTCTTGTAGAAAGCTCCCCTTTCCATGTTGGTGGCTTCTAGGGTGACCTAATTGTTTTCAGAGTGTCCTTAGTCACCACAAAAGTCATGAAGTAACCACAGCAATGGTTGAGGGGAAAAAGCCTACCTACTGCCCTGTCCTTGACTGCCATCTCCTCTCCTAGGATCATCTACCTGTGCTAGACCGGGGCCAACCAGCCTTTGCTATGCCTGGCTAGTGTGGGCTTGGAATCATACTTCTGTGACATTGGGCAGGCACCTTAGCCTTCCAGTCTGACTTGCTTGCCCCACAAAGGGAATGATATCATGTACCTCTGAGGATGGTGATTCATTGGGGTTTTATATGGTGATTTGGGGTATAGGCCTAACCCTGAGAATATGCCCTAGAGTGGCAGCAGGGGTCAGCCTTGGACAAGGGTCACGCGGTGTGTTCCCAGTGCAAGGGAAACTTAGGAGGGCTTTGCAGAGAAAGCAGAGCTGAGGCAGGTGCAGCCTGCATGCTGAGGTGCCATGCTGGGAGGCTGGGGCATGGCAGAGTCCAAGGGCACATAATGGGGAGGTGTCCAGGAGACTAAGGAACCTGGGCCCTCAGAGGAAAGGCCAGGGCCAGGTCAGGTCAGAGTTAAGAGCTTCATTGTGGAGTGGATGACAGCCTTGGGGTGAGGAAGAGTGATTCAGTTAAAGGTTAAAACACTGTAAACCCAGCTGCCTACACTGTTATCCCAGCTCCACCACCTCCTGTTTATGTAAGTTGGGCATTGACTTGACCGGTGTGCCTCATTGTGAAAGGGCTGTGGGGGCCACCAGATGTGTTGTAAAAAACAGGTGCTTAATAGGGTACCTAGTGCAGGTTAGACACCACACAAGTGTTCACTGGTAATTACTGAGGGTCCCCAGGCAGAGACTGCAGGGACAGAATGGGGAGGGCTTGGGGATCCTTCCAGAGAAGATGGGTCCTTCACACAGTCAGAAGGACAGTCACTGGACCAGCATCTGCATCCTCTGACCTCTTCTCTCCCAACCCCAGATGACTTCCGAATCTTCTGTGGTGATCTGGGCAATGAGGTGAATGATGACATCTTGGCACGCGCCTTCAGCCGCTTCCCATCCTTCCTTAAGGCTAAGGTGATCCGTGACAAGCGCACCGGCAAGACGAAGGGCTATGGCTTTGTCAGCTTCAAGGACCCCAGTGACTATGTGCGCGCCATGCGTGAGATGAACGGTGAGTGAGGGCTCCCCAGACACAGTGGGTATGGCGCATATCGAGCCGATGCCTGACCTTGAGCCCTCCATTCCCACAGGGAAGTATGTGGGCTCGCGCCCTATCAAGCTCCGCAAGAGCATGTGGAAGGACCGGAACCTGGACGTAGTCCGAAAGAAGCAGAAGGAAAAGAAGAAGCTAGGCCTGAGATAGGGTCTGTGGCTGGGCACCCGCTCCCACCCTGCCGGGCGCTGGCTTCTCCCCGTAGCTGTGTTTGGGAAACCCTGCAACTATCTACCCACCCACCCTGAAAAAGTTTCAATAAATTTACATTCATTTACACCCCTGGCTGCACTTGGAGACACTCTGAGGGGACAGGTTTGGCATCTTCCACCTGAGAATGCCTTGAGAGAATGCCACCTTAAGAACCTTGGGAGTTTACCCAGGGAGCCATCCAGGCGGGCATTCCTGAGCCCCTGTGGTGTGCTGATACTTGTCAAAACTTCTTAAGGGCTTGCCCTCTGCAGCCAGTTCTAGAGGAGGAAGGGTGGTTCGGCAAAGTAAAAGTCAAGGCTCATCCTGCTCCAGCCTGTGCTGTCAGCACTGAGTAAGGTAGGAGTTCTGGGCCTAGCCCTTTGAGAACTCAGCCCAGAGGCGTGGACGGTGCAAAGGACCACAGCGACTAACACCCGCAGTCCTGCTCAGAGACCATGGTCCACTGACAAAGGGCTGCATGGCTGACTGATGTGCTGGTCAGGGAGGGCTTCTTGAAGGAAGCATCTACTGTGACACTGTCATCCTTCCCCTCTGGGTCTTTTGGGCTATCTGCCATTTCTCTATTCTGCCCAACCCCAGCCTACAGCACTCTTGGGTCTCAGTATCTGTGTCTGTGTCTTTTCCTGGCTCCAGACTTGCTTCTGCCTGCTGAAGAGGTATCTATCTGTGCAGGACCTGGAATGGCAAGCCAAGAGCTTAAGCTTTACCCTGCACGTAGCAGGGAGTCCTGAGGAGTTAGGACAAGTCAGGCTGCAATTGGGCCTGATGTCACAAATATGCACTTCAGAAACATCTCTGAGACCTCAGCACTGAGTGCTTGAGTCTGGAAGGAGGCTGGGGCAGGCCTGCTGGAGAAGGCCTGCAGGGTTGGGAGGGGTAAGGGTCTTCTGGGGATATAGCCATCAGAAAGCTGGACTGGGGGGAGCCTGTGGTGTGTGTTGGCGGGGTGGGGACAGACGGTGTGATACCAAGGCCTCTGCAGACAGAGATCACCCGGGAGAGGTGTCGGATTTCTGCTCCCTTGCTCCTGTCTGCCCCTCTGACGTCACTTTTTCCAGTCTGGTGGAAGGGGTGAGGGCCTCCTGGCAGGAAATGCCCTTAAGCCCCTTGGCCTAGACCACCCCACACAACCTTCCCCCATCACTGGCCCTTCCTACCCCTGGCCCCCTTCTCCACAGGGGCATGGGACCACAGGTGATTCCAGAAGGGAGGGTTAAATTACGTGTAGGAATCCTCCTGATGGTGGAAAGGAACACATTCAGAGATGGACAGAAGCTGACATATGCAGGGAAGCTTAAGGACTGTCAGTGCCACAGAAAAAGAGGAACCCCAGAGACAGCTAGAGGAGGCAGGAACACCCAGGAGACTGGTGACGAGGTTTCGATGGCATCAGGCTGGTATGACAGCAACCCAGAGCCACAAACACCAACTGGAGGAGAGGTAGACATGGACAGACACACCAAGAGCAGAAAGGCCAGCTCCAGGGGCAGCCTAGCAGGCAGTGCAGACCAGGACTGTTTCAGGCCCTTAGGTGGATGTATGACGGGCAGTGATGCCCACCGCTCAGTGGCTCTCAAAGCTCGGTGTGAGCCCAGCCCCAAGTGATTCCCTCTCAAATCATTTCCCTTCTGTAAAATGAACAAGAGAGCAGCACTACCCTCCGCCCTTCAGAATGGAGAATAGTTCATGATCGAGGAGCTAGGTAAGTAAGGAAACTGTCCATGTTAAGACATCATTTTTAATGGTAAATATGGGCACATGCACAGTATCTGAAGCCAGGTTGTCCAAGGGTTGCCAGACTCATCAAATAAAAGTAGAGGACAACTAGTTACTAAATTTTAGATAGTTTTTAGTATTTAGCATATGTTTGGAGTATTGCATGTGTGTATGAATCTTTTTTTTTTTTAACTTTTTTTTGGTAGTGGGGATTGAATTTGTGACCTCACGCTTGCCAGGCAGGCACTTAGCCACTGCGCTAAATCCTCAGCCCATGTATGAATCTTTACATCTCTGTTTTTGCTTTTTGCTAAATCATTTAACACAGGTTATAAAATTATAACATGAGTTTGATCCCCAGTACCAAAAAAAAAAAAAACTGTAACACTTCACCCCTTGATATGTGTTCATTTCCTAATAATGACTTCACAGAATACCATGATCATCACGTGTCACGTCTAAGAAAGTCATTTCACATGTTATCTGTTTTCTTTTTCTTTTCTTTTTCTTTTTTTTTTCTTTTTTTTTTTTTTTTGAGACAGGTCTTGCTTTGTAAGACTGGACTTGAACTCACAGCAATCCTCCTGCCTCAGTCTACCAAATGCTGGGATTACAGGCTTGCATTGCCATGCCTAGCCCATGTGATAACTCATATTCAATTCATACAATTTCCCAGTTGTCCAAAATTATTATATCAGAAATTCATGGCCTTTGGAAAATGAAAGATGTCTACCTCAATTTTCCCCTTCATGAAACAGGAGAAAGAGTTGAATCTACCGCATGAGAGGATTAAATGAAGACCCAATGCACATGGCTCGTTGACATGCACACAGCTCCTCCTGTGACATTAGCTGTTGCTATTACTATTTTTATGGCTCATGTTGCTGATGTTAACCTTTCGTTATGATTGACACTACTCCACAACTAGTTGTGTGTGGGGGGGTGTGCAGGCTCTGCTTCCATCTCCCTTGGTCACCCTGTTGATTATGACGTGGGCCAATGCTGGGGACAGGGAATCTGGCAGGAAATCCCTCTTCCTGTTGCAGATAAGCCTGGCGCAGCCCAGCTGACCCCAGGCCCTCCTCCCTCCACCTCCCATGTCGCAGGATCAAATCCCAAAGATGGAGAACCTGTCCACCCTGCCCAGCCCCCATCACCTCATAAACACCCCCGACCGCTGTTCCCCGTCTTGCCCAGCCCACTGTTCCCCAAGCCATTCCTGCACCAGGACAGCTCCAGCGGCTGCATCCCTGGGGCAGGGGGCGAGGCTGGGCTCCGCCCAGGGACCTGCAACTTGACCCAGGCTGCGACCCCCTGCTCTGACGTGTTGGAAAATTCCCCCCTGCCCAGGTCCCAAGGGAGGGGGTGCAGAGTATGAAATGGGGCTGAGACCCCCGGCTGAGGGCAGAGGAATCCGCCGGAGGTGAGCCATGAAGTGGGGACAGAATAGTTGCCTGGGTACCTGGGTTAGGAAGGAGCTGGGGACTTGAAACAGGAAGAGGAACGAAGCCCCTCATTCCTGGGCGCCAGATTTCTGGGGGGAAAGGGAGCAGAAGCTTGGACACCTGAGTCCCAGGGAGGCAAGAACTGGTGCCCAGACTTCAGGGTCCCTAAAGGTGGCATTTTTGAACTTTTTTTTTTTTTTTTTTTTTTTACACCAGATCATTCCAAACAAGAACCTATGGATGCGTGGAGCTGCGATGAGACCCCACCACAGGAAGTGCCTCCAGGGAACAAGCTGTCAGGGCAGGGTAGGTGCTGGGGCTGAGGCAATATTTAGGGAGGATGGGGGCCACTGCAGACCCCTGACCCGGCCTTAACGGTTTTTGCCTGCAGATGGAACTGAATTTGGCTTCTATTTCCCTGAACTGGCACTCCAAGGGGACGCGCCCACAAGGGAAACGTGCTGGAAAGGTGGCTACCGCGCTAGGACCCCTGGGGGCTGGGTGGAGGATGGAGGCTGGGCTCCTAAGTCTGAGAGAGGGCTCCCCCGGTGAGTTAGGGGGACGCACTAAGTTGGAGGGTACTGGGGTCCTCAGTGAGTAACACCCTGCCCCTGACAAAGACCGGAGTGGGTGGGCGATGAAGGTCCCACCATCCCTAAACTCACTTGCGGTCCTGTCCTTCGCAGAGTTCCCGGAGCCAGACTGGATCCCCGAGTTACCACATCCAGAATATGCATGGGGAGCAGGTGAGTGTGCGTACAGAGGCAGTAACAGGAGAGGACTGGGTCCTGGCTCCCAAAGCTCCACCTGAAGGATGGGGCTAGCAGAGGGGACACCTGCATTCTCAAGGTGGCTCAGCTTAGGTTTGGAGGTCCTCATCCTGTGGCCCTCTAGAACTGCGGTAGAGTCCAGGAATCAGGACATCACTTAGTTTCGATTCTTCCTCTCAGATCTCGTCCCTCAGACTCCTATGTGGTCTGCAGATTGGACAAACCTGGAGCGCGCAGCCTCGGACCCTCGCAGCCTCATCTCTCAGACCCCGGAGCCTGCCCTCCCTGGCCCGGGACCCGCCCCCTTCGCTGGTTCCGTTGGGGCTGCGGGCCAGAACAATGCCACCTCGTGGTCGCACGCTCAGGCCGCTAGGAGCACTGCGAGCTGGGACTATTTCGTCGTCCCCAACGGCGCCACCTACTGGGACAATGGCTTCTACGGGGACCCTCGCACAGACTATATTGCGTGGGGCGAACCTGCGGGTTCGAACTCTATCTCCTCGTGGAATCTGGGGCTGCATACAGATTGCAGCATGTCTTCGGACGGGTACCAGAGTTCAGCTCTCACCACCTCCTCCGAACCGAGCCAGCAGCCTGACCGTGCCACCTCGACTCGTTACCCCAAAACTAACCACCGAGGTAAGAGGTCCTGGCCGACGCCCGAGGGCGCAAAGTCGGGGTGATGAGGCAGGGACTCAGCGTCCAAGGGGGTGGGGCTCCGGAATCTGGCTGGAGAGGCGGGGCTTAGATGCTTAAATGTAGGTGAGCGGAGGGGAGCCTGTCCACTCAACTTTTGAGACAGAATCTCACTGAACTAAATTTAATTTAGTTAAATTGCCCAAACTCCACTCAAACTTGCGATCCTCTTGCCTCACTTATCCAGAATGCAGGAATTATAGGCCTGCGCTACAATCCCCGCCAAGGCAGACACTTAGGACCCCAAACTTGCGAATTCTTCAAGTGGTCCAGGGAGTTCTAGATTCCTCAAGGAGTTCTAGATTCTTGGGTCCAAAGTTGGCATGATCTGGACCCTTGAACCTTCGAGATGAGGGAACCCCGACTCCCTTCGTCGGAGCAGCGGCGCCTGGGTCTGCGAAATCTGGGTTTTCACCTGCTTGCGCCTCGCAGGTCCCATTCAGCTGTGGCAGTTTCTCCTGGAGCTACTCCACGACCGGGCGCGTAGCAGCTGCATCCGCTGGACCGGCAACAGCCGCGAGTTCCAACTGTGTGATCCCAAAGAGGTGGGACAGCTCCCCCGATCCTCGGTCCAGCCTGAGTCGCCCTAGCGCGACCTTGCCCGCCTTTTGCAGGGCCTAGTCCTTGGCCCCGCCCCCGCCTCACCCTCTAGGCTCAGCCCCGCAGTGTCCCCGCCTGGGCCCCAGACTCAACCAGTCCCGTTTTAGCCCGGCTTGGAGGTTCGAGACCCCAGCCCCGAAGACCCCGGCCCCGTGCATCGTAGCACAGCCTCCCCACTCCTCACCCTTGCGTTCTCTGACTCTGCCTGGTCTCCGTCCTAGGTGGCGCGGCTTTGGGGTGAGCGCAAGAGGAAGCCGGACATGAATTACGAGAAGCTAAGCCGAGGACTGCGTTACTACTACCGCCGCGATATCGTGCAAAAGAGCGGCGGGCGCAAGTACACGTACCGCTTCGGGGGCCGCGTACCTGGTCTGGCCTGTTTGGACTGTTCGGGGGTCGCGCCGGAAGCAGACACCCAATAAAATATGCTGCCAAAGTGTCACACTTATTGTCGACGTCCTTCCCACTGACCCTGGCTAGACTCGTTGGGGAGCGTAAGTGTGCACCCACCTTCCAGTTTGGCCTCTCCACCACCGAGACTTGAGCATCCAGATCTGTATCTCTTTCCTCTCAACCCAGGAGCCTTAATCTTTGTCCGCATGGTCAGCAGTGTGGACCAGTAGGCCCTAGGCCCCGCCCCCACATGCTGCCAGTTTCCAGGGACCTGCCCCCTAAGTCCCTTGGCTCACTGTCCCCTTTCTCCCTTTGTGGCCTTCACACGTGGTGATTATTGGGAGGGGGCGGGTAAATAGGAGCCCACTTCCCACTGAGACTACACAGGACCCAGCCCCTTAGGGATCCTGCTGTGTGCCCACTCAGTGTCTATGAGGCCTGTCCTATGCCAACCTTGTGTAGGAACTTTGAAAGGACTGAGGCCTGCTGAGGTTTCAATATGATCCACCTCTTCCACTAAGTTTGTGCAGGAATGTAATCCCCAAAGTCTCCTATTAATATATTAAATGATGGAAACTTGGTGGTGTTTAGAAGTGGCCCATTCGGGAAATGATTAAATTAGGTCATTGGTAGGGAGACACCAGGACTGAATCCTGTGGATTATAATGTGAGAGAGAGCTGACTAGAGCACACCTGTCTCTTGCCATGTGGTTCCTTGGGCCACCATCTCAAGATTGCCAGTCAGAAGGTCATTTGCTATGAGGTAACACAGTCAATGGGAGGCCTTGCTGTTTGGTCCTTGTACCTCCAGAACCATGAGCCAAAATAAACCTTTTTGTTAGAGAGCAGCCTGCCTCTGATACTTCATTATGGTAACAAAAAATACTAATAAAGATCCTGTCATGTAAGTTTATCACCTGCGTACCCTTGAAGAAAAGACTCAGATTTCAAAAAGGACTGAGTGCCTTCCCAGAGTGAGGGGTCATCAAAGGTTAGACCAGTGATGGCCCCTCGCCACTGCAGATACTATTTTCTTTTCTTCTTCTTCTTCTTCTTCTTCTTCTTTTTTTTTTTTTTTTTGGTCTAAATTATTTATTTTTTTTTTAATTTTATTTAAGGAGAAAAGAAGAAAAAAAACAGTGAAAGGGTACAAGTTATACAGATTTACAGAGGGAAAAAAATGAACAGTAGGAAATCACTAGTTAATGGATTACATATTGCCATCTTAGAATTAATTGTTCAAGTCACAAAATTAAAGCTTGTAGAGTGGACATTCCAACAATGATACTGCAAACAGTTCTGTTCAATGATCCAATAAAACTCTGTGATATCATTTTCTATCTTATACACTTAAATATACATGCAGTTATATAGTTTAGAGCACTTTCTTTTCCTCTCTTTTGTACAATGACTATTACAGCAGATACTATTTTCCTACTCTAAATTGGAGGACAGAGAGAAAACCCACTGGGAGCTTACTGGGAGCCTACCCCATTCTGGAATCACTGAACCCCAGAGAGAACCCACTGTATGGTCCTCCTGTAGGTGATGCCAGGGCCCATCTGTAACAAGCCAGGCCTGGACCTGCCCCAGGGAATTCACAGACTAGTGAGAGGTAGATACCACCCTTTCAGCCAGGGACAGCCCAGAGTGACCAGGGCTGGGATGAGGATCCTCCAGGGGATGAAAGGGATTCCACAGGAGGGACCTGGCCCAGACTTGGAGGAAGAGAATCAGGGGAGGCTTCTGAGAAGGAACAGGACTGAGCAAGAATAAATGGGGCATGTTTTGGTGGTAGCACAGCCTATGCCATAGAGCGAAAGACAATGCTGAACAGCTTTGAACGTGTGGCTTTCACCCCACATCACTGTGGGAGCTGGTTTCAAGGGCTTACCATTTAAAACCCAAACCCAGCTAAGCTCCTTTGGGTGATCCATTGTGGCCCCATTTGACTTGGCAGCCCATGCCAGGCTCTCAAAGACAGTAATTCATTTGGGCCTTCCAACATCCCACTGAATATGCAGGTCAATAATTTCCATTACCTAACCGTACAGAAAACACGGAGCTTCAGAGAGGTCATACAACGTGCCCAAATCACACTTCAGTGGAAGATCACAGCTTTAAGCTGGCTAATCTGACTCTTAAGTCCAGACTTGCTAAGAAAATAAGAATGGGCTGTCCATTTTGCCAGGGGTTCTTGAAGCTACTGTGATAGCGCCTGCCATCTGCCTGGTGATTTAAGTTAGTTAAAGTCTGAATTTTTCCAACTTCCCTTGCAGTTATGATTATCTGTATAATGATGTTTGGGTCAACATGAGATGTGGGTACAAGTTGTTCGTGCCATTTTCCAGACTAGGCCCTTCAAAAGAAGCCATGTGCTCTCCTCTGACCTGATAGGAATGTGATTGCTGGAGCTAAGGAAGCCATTGTGGAGCAAATGGGCCTATAATTTCATATGAGGTAGAAATAAGTTTACATTTGAGCTACGGTGGACCCCTGAAATTCACAAAGGTTATGTTCCTAGAGCACCTGTGAATTGTGAAAAACCACAAATATCAGATATGGTCAGAAAAATGCCTATTTTATAGTTTAAACCCTAAATATGTTAGGTCTCCCCAAGCTACGCAATTAATTTAATAAAAGTCCTGTACTAATAAAGCCTTAAAAGGTGTAGGGTGTTTCGACCTCATTTTAGGGATCTTAGAGCTTTAAGAACAAAACCAAGCCAGGTGTGGTAGCTCACACCTATAATCCCAGCACTCGGGAGGCTGAGGCAGGAGGATCATTGAGAGTTCAAGACCAGCCTAAGCTACAAAGTGAGCTCAAGGCCAGCGTGAACTGCACAGCGAGACCCTGTCTCAAAAAGACAAAAACAAAATAAAACAAAAAAGAACAAAACCAAAACACTGGAGATAGCTACATGCAGCCCAGCAACCCATTAGGATGTAGGAACACTGGTTCACCTGCCAGAAATGGAGTACAGGGCAGCAGCCAATCAGTGGAAAGGAGAACTGAAAAACTCTCTTGGATTGGCTATGTGCAAACTTCCCCCCACATACACACACTCACACACATACCAAAAAAATAAACAATTATAGAGGATATTTGCAGTTTCTGTTAAATAGTAGGGTGTCCATGAACAATTATTAGTTAGGTTCTAAGGCCTTAGAACAACCTCTCTGAGGTATACTGTCTTGCATATTTTTTTTTACTGTATTGTATTTTGGCCTTCTTTGTTATAGCAGCCTAACATTTACACAAACAAATGTATATATCTGATAGCAGTCATGAAGAAAGGGATTCGGGACAATAGGGAATCCAGGATAGGAGCTGAACCAAGACAATGTTAACAGCAGGTCTGCCCGAGGTAGTCACCTGAACTGCGGTCACTGTGGTGGAACTCTGGCCTCGGCACACAGAACATGCTCCCCCACCTACTGCAGTCAGTGTGAGCCAGCAATCCCCTGTCCCTCAGAGAGGTTTCCAGGGATGTGATCAAAGAACACAGATTGCACTCAGGAGGCCAAATTCCAACTCTGCATTTCCCATCTTAAGCATGTGCTTAATCTCTTGGAGTTTAGGTTTCCCTGTCTGTAAAATGCAGATGATGGTACCTGCTCCCCGGATAGCACATAACAAACACCCAATACTCTCCCTTGCAGCCCCTCCACCTGACTCTAGCAGGATGGCCTGTGACACACAGGCAGTGGGCAGACCCTGATCACCCTATGGCTCAGCAGCCCACCAAGGAAAGGCACAGGTAGGGGTCCATGGGGATCCACAGACTGTGCAGGAGACCTCTAGGAGTCTACAATAGGGTGGATCGGTGACCCCCAGGGAAGAGAACCTTGAAGGCATTTGAGAAACTCCACATGGGGACCCTTGTGCCAGAGGAGTGCTAAGATCAGACTCCACACTCTGGACTCCTGGTGTAACCAGGTGGTCAGAAATGCCCAGACAAGATAAACGTAAGTGCTGATGGCCCTGGTGGCTCCAGTTTACCTTCAGAAACCCGGGAAAACTCTGTGCCCATCCCAGGGCTCATACTGACCTGAACTGTCCTCAACCACAAGGAGAAGCTTTCTTAACAAACCCACAACAGGACAGGGTGCAAAAAGGGAGCTCACAGTCTGAGTCCAAACCCTGAGAGCGTGTTCCACTACCAGCTTACTCACTGGGAGGTACAGCTCATCAGGGACTTAAACTCCTTGACTGCCACTTCCAGTCCTGTCCTTGGCCCTCATCAGACCCCATGTGACTCTTTGATGCAATGGAACCCCAGCCACAGGTGGCCCCACTCCTCTGGGACCTGCTGGATTTCTGGAAGCAGAGTGCCAATTCCCACTTGCCTATCTCCACCTATTCCTGGTCCACTTCAGTCCAGCTCAGGGTTTACAAGTGCCCCAGGAACTCTTATCCCACCCAGACAGCAAACACAGATCCAGGCTCCAGGTTGAGCTGCAGCAGCCCAGCCCCAGAGCTCCCTGCTCTACTGGCACTTCCCAGGGTGCAGATGCAAAATTTAAGGACCATGGGGACAAAGAGACAATTATATCCCTGTGCTTTTTGTAATAGGTATACAAAAAATAATCTGCCCATTGCTCCTGTGATTTCATGGGTATTACGGAATTTAAAAAGCAAGAACATTTAAGATGGATCTAGAGGAGGAACAAAAATGGCAGATAGATAACAACTGGCTACAGAGGCTCCCTGAGATAGTCAACTTAAAATTCAACATAATACAGACTGGGGAGCCCCAAACAGAGGGAGATGAATTCTCTCGTCCCAAGAAGAAATTAAGGTGACTTGCCAACCATCCGAGTCCCGCTGTGACTTCCCGAGGTGCCACGACTTGCTGGGGTGCCGTGACTGGCTGGGGTCCCGCTGCGACTTGCCAAGACATCTGAGGTCCTGCAGCGACTTGCTGAGCCATCTGAGATCCCACCGCTTCGACTCACTGGAGGTGCACTTACATTGAGTTTGGAGGTCAGTGAGCTGAATGGAGAGCTGAGTTGGCAGGGTGCCTACATCAACCTGTGGTGAGTGACA